AATTTTGGTGACAGTGCTGTAAAAAAATAACAACCCAATTCCGAACGTGCTAAGTGGGCCTTGATCCGGCGGTTCATATCTCGGGTAAATCTTGCATATTAATACGAGACATCTTCTTTGAAAAAAAACTATTCAACTTGGAATATGTTTGTAATTACAATGCTCATGATAAAACCTACTGTTATCTTTCTGAATTGCTTAACTATAGAAGTAGTAAGTTATAGAAACATAAGAAAAGCATTCATTTACTTGCATCTTACAAAGCTTGGCACTGAAAGGGCAATATTTTGTATATATTTATATTTAAGATGCCCACATTTTTAAACTGACATCTGAAGCACTTTTAAACCTCTTAACTCTTTTCTCCAACATTTTCTGTTTTCACAAGCAAATACTGTCCAACTTTTCATTCGTGGCTGCTGTACTGCGCGCGGTGGAATAGTGGCGGGGAATGTGGTATGTGTGAAGAATACTTAAAAAAATATGACAGAGTGCAACTTGAGGGCTTCAGTAACCATCACAGATCCTTCTCCTACTCTCCGTCAAACCCTTTTTCTGTCTGTGAAATACGAATGTATCGTTAACTGACTAATGTATCATTAATATTTTGCAAACAAAACGAACTGTACCCAATAAATCGCCTTAATGTATGAGGTCCATTTAAAAGTTCAAAATCAATGGTACATATAACACCGGGACCATCGGTTGATGGAATCGATGAACTGAAAGGACATGGAAGGAAACTGTCGTGTTCTAACGTATGGTACTATCCCGGCATTTGCCTGGACGGTCAGAGGAAAGCCACAACAAATCGATACAGACGGTCTCCGGACCACGATCTGAACAACCTGGGACCTTGCAGGATGCTGTGTTATTAATTTTTGAAATGTTAATATCAGTAAAAGAAAAACAATATAGTAATTTCTCCATTTGCGCCTGTTTATTTAGGCGTTTTAGGTTCAAACCAGATCACTTCATTTATGTTACATTGATACTAAAAGACAAAATGGCAGACGACGGCGTGGGGACGATGGAAGCAATGTTTCTGCGGGGACGGCTATATCCTATAACTATGTATTTTACATGATTGGATGTCTATAATTATCACGTGATAGTTCAACCTCTTATTCCTATGAAAAGTCAGCTGTTCATTCAGGTCTACTCATGTCTCAAGAATGATTATTGTGCGTAAATTGACATATTATTGTTTTCGGGTTACTTTTCTCACTTAAATCATTTGGAAATAAACTTCTGAAGTTTTACTTTAAAGAAATTAGCTAAAATGCTCGTTACTTACTACAGAGTGAATGGTTCCACAGACATCGTTGAAGTGAACTCTTCAGTGGCCTTGAATAATGTTCTACTAGTGAGCAACATGAAACAAACTACATTCGTGCACATCTTGTGTTGCAAACATTTCTGATCGACCGATATTGAACGCACGTGCAAAGAATCTTCGTCAGGAAAATCATATTTACAATGTAATCAAATTTCCTTATCAGAAGTTATTTCCATACTCCGGTCTAAAGTGCAGGCATTCCACTGAGATCGACTGTTTTGCAAAACTGCGCGTTCGAATCCCTGTCAAGGCATACTATCCCTAAAATATAAAATTAAGGATATTTAGCAACGCTATTTCAACTGCAGGGGTTATAGTGAGTCAAGCGAGGTCATCATGAATAGTAAGTAGGCAAGGATGTAGAGACGGCAGTGACGTATTTCAAGGTAATGTCCCTAATGTCAGCAAGTTACTGCTGCTTTTGGTTAAACTGGGCTCTCATGAAGGATCTTAATTAGGCTTAGGAAAACTCTTACGCATGATACAAGAACCCTGCCTATCTTCCAGCGTCATGATGTCTCATCTACGAAACTACTCAACACATCTTGAAACCACGTAGCATAATGACTGGGGCTGCACTAAATAATGCAGGGTAAATTTAATTTTTGATACGTATCACTACTTTACACGAAACTCAAATTGGTACATGGAACAGGCCTACATAATACACATCTCTAAAATCTACAATTAATATTTTAACAAAATCGATGTGGTGAATACTGAGCCAAATATAGTACAAGGTAAAACGATTTCTGCTATAAGTAAACATCAGGGCACACTCCCCGAACAGATTCTACTCAACCGCACACAGCATCAGATCCCATAAGCACCGAGCTTTGGCCTCACTTCACACACTGAGATCAGAGACTTTTTCCATCATGACATTAGTAATTGGTTCGCAACTACGACTGATGGTTTCCTCCTTAAGTAATTCATAAACTGTTCGCTTACTTCATCCTTCTTCGGGTAGAGTATTTTCCTCCTTTCAAAAACTTTCAATCGATATTCTTACCTGAAAAAGATCACATTTCGCACCCTTACACAACCTGGTAAACTAAACTGTAGATCAGGAGACTTTCAACCAAGGATCACTAAACTGTGTTCCAGTTGGATAGCTTATGTGAAGGAGCGTGAAAAGTAACGGTGATCGCATCGCAAGGTCGTTTACTGCTCCAAGCAGAGTGACGACAAAAAGAAAATGTCGAAGAAACTTGCTACGAGCGCGCTGAGCAACTGGTAGGGACGAGGACCTGCCGGGCTAGCTCCGAAAACACCATCATTCTTCAATACAAAATATATTCATAGCATTTCTAAGCTTGTAACTAACCCGGCGGATCAACATCGCTAATATAAAACCTAACATTTGACACCATCCGGAGACAGTTCCATTCACTTTTATTCTTACAATCTAATTCCTTAACAACAATCTTAATATTATCTTTCAAGAGGTCTCCCACACGTTTGTCCTCTCCACCTGAGCTATATTACCACCTAGAATTCGTCATCCTGACAATACTACACTTCTTGGCTCCCGGCAGGAACTGCATGACTCACCGCCAAGTTCAAAAAGCAACTGCAGATAAAAATTATACACAAAACAGTGCAAATGTGTCTAACATCGTGTGAAGTACTAGCTATTGTTGCGTGTGGATATGGTTCCATTTGCAATTCAACAGCTTGTTCTTTATTAATCTTACGTAAAATGTGGTTCCTCTAGAAAGTGTCGACGAAAATTTCAGCATAAATAGCAGGAATCATAGTTCCAAGCACAAGCGTTCATAAACTTAATAACAAAGTCAGGATGTTCTGGGCCACTTCTGGATAATAAACCTGATTTAAAAAAACACGCAGATGAAAACTAGACGAACAGGGGCTAGGTCACAACACACACCACAGAAATC